GCGCCAAAATTGTTTTTGCTTTGGGCGGCAAAAATCCTAGAGCCGGCCCTGGTCACTGTTCTGTCAACCTTTGGCATAGATGAGCCGTGGAAGAATTCCTTAGGATGAAACTTACCTGCCAACATGGAAAACAATGTGCCAGTAGCCCCAGGCTTAGGGTGACCAGATGTCCTGTTTTTAAAGGGACAGTTCTGTTTTTTGGGGACTTTTTCTTAGATAAGCACCTATTACCCCCCCACCCCCATCCTGTTTTATCACAGTTGCTATCTGGTAACCCTACAGGCTCGAGCACTTTATTTAAACCTATAGGGTTATACAGCTATAAATACACCTCTGGCACTATAATAAAACTATTTAAATTCTTGGTGGATGCGTGTGTCTTGTGAGGATTATTATTTTCCCCACAATCTGAGAATTGTGAAGTCACTGGGAGCCGAGAGTAAGCACTGCAGCATTTATCCCTATATGAATTGTAGTTACTTTTCTGAGTTCAGCGTCTCAGCATTTTGCCTCTGCTTTGTATGCCCTAGCCAGAAAATGAATGAAAGAGTTTTACAGACCCAGGTACTGCACTAATTCAGAACAAACTCACATCTAGTTCTGGTCAGAAAAGGATCAGGGAGGAAAAGTAACCTCTGACCCTTGGAATGTCTTGCTGGAGATCATTTCCCAAGGTGCACTTCGGGCTCAGAGCTATGAGCTGGATGCTCAAGATCTGGGAGCACATCCAAAGGTTTGTGGATGCTCACGGCACGTTCTGGCCTTTTGTTTAGATATGAGGCGACAGCTCTCACCGCTAGTGATCTTGTTTCTTGGCTTCTTGCAGAAGTCAGCGAGCTCGTTATTTAAAATGATCCCAGTGCTTGGGGAATATACCATTGAGCCAAACCTGAGTGGAGGGAAAGCACACGTGAGATGTGGTAGTCCAGGACTGTTATGCCAAAGATCTCCGACAGACAGAACAGCAGAGAACCCTTTGGGAATTACCACTGGCCATGCTGCGCCATGCCAACCTAGTGCTGCCATATACAGGAGCCCTTAGAAGACTCTGCTAAGCCCATATTCAGCGCAGAGGTGCCAGTGCCTTAAGGCTGCGGTACCTTTATATTTACTGTTGTGTGGCCACAGGCTGTGTGGGTTGCTGAGTCCACTATCTGTAAGAAGAGACAAGAGAGTTTTACCTTTTGTATGGCTACGTTTTGAAATCAGAGTAAATACTACACCCAAATCCAGAGACATCACTGAACGGGCAACAAAACCGAGACACTTCTACTTCCTAAGCCAGCTGAGTCCAGGTGCTTGTACAAGAGTTGCTGGCTGCCATTTTCTAGAGCACCTCTCAGTAGGTGGCTCAGTAGCAAAAACTACTGAGCAAGTTGTTTGTCCTGTCTGACTCTCAAGTGGGCGTGGCAATGAGGTGGATTGGGGCTACGTCCCTTGATAGCAGGGGGCAGTTTCACTGCTCCAGCTGGGATCAATCAAACTCAGATGACTGGTTGAGGGAAGCTCAGAGTAAGGCTGTCCTGAGGGTAGCTACATCCCTGCTCCTGCCTTGCCTATTTCTGGGAAACTGTAACACGGGCTGTTGTATTGTTCATAACCGTCTTGGGAGCCGGGTAACTGGCTGGGCCAGTTTGTTATACTGGACAGTAGGACTGTGTGTCAGTTTCAGTAGAGACCCAGGCCATCTGGTCCCCTCCTTATGAGCACAGCACAGCAACCCCCTTCCTACCCCCTCACTCCCCCCCGAGTGGCAACTTGCAAAAGAGTGAAGGTGGGGGAGAGACAGGGGAGACCTGAGACTGAAGCCATTTCCAGAGAGTCACAAGATGGGCAGCAGCCATCTTTCAAGTGGCACTACCCACACTTGGACGCTCCAGGAGCCCCACAAACCTGCTCAGCAGAGTCCCAGTCACACTCCCTCTGGGTGACCAAATCACCAGGCTCTGGTCACTTACGGCTGGTTGATAGTGCTGGTGACAGACACAGCACTGCCATCTTCAGCGAGGACGGAGACGTGGGCGGTGCCGTAGCCTATGTTGCTTGTCTGTGACAGATTGTAAAAACTGTTTGGATGGTCACCTCTGTCATCTATACGGTTCCTGGCAAGTTCAGCAAAGGAGTTGGACAACAGTTCCTGAATAGTCACCTAGGAATAAGGCCAAGGGCAGTGAGATGACCCTTCCAGAGCACAGGGATGCTGCTGCAGGCTGAGGAGGAGGTCATAGGGTTTAACTCAAGGTGATGGAACTCAGAGAATCTACATCACCACTCAAGCACTGTCAGCATTTGTTGCCCACTGTTTCCCACAACGCACCTCCTCAAACAACACTAAGCAGAGCTATCAGTGCTTAATAACCAACTCCTGAACAAATGAGAACACTCTGGCAAACAACAATGGATGACACCTGTAATCCAGATCCTCTTTCCTGCTTTAACTGATCAGGTGAGCAAAGCCATTGAAATGAAACAATCAAAACACTGACATTGAGACTGTCTGAGAACACAGGGCCCAATTCTGCCACCCTCAGCCAAGCTAAGCAGTACTGTCCTCCACCAGTTGTCCCACTGAGTTTACTTCTTCCCCATTGCAACAGGACTACACAGAGTAAATTCCTACTCAGCACAAGTAAGCATGAGAGAAGTAACACGTAATATTGCAGTGCAGTATTCTAATGAACCTTAAGGGGACTTGGCAGGTTGTTTGGAAGGTTTATCTTAGGGAGTGTAAAGCATATGAGTTTATGACAAAGAGGTTTCAAAACAGAAACAGCAGCCCTGCAGCAAAGCTATAGAGAAGGCAGGAGAGGAGGAAGGGGGCCCAAGTTAACAGCTGTTCTCCACGACAGTGTTTCCTATCAACTATCCAATGGACAGTCAGGACAGGAAGCCCAAGTTTGCACATATTCATCTTACAAGTAAGAGTTCCATTGAGATGGAGATGCACTGGACCAGTGAGCTATGAAACTTTATGGGGTTTGGGTACTAGAATCTTATTAGCAAGGAAACATTGACTGGACTTTAAAATACATGGACAATTAACAGCAAATTGATTTCCGTTTCTTCCCTTCCCCCACTGATTGTGCCGCAGGGACAGTCTGAGATCTGCAATGGCATTTCTGGCTGCCTCATGGAGCTGTGCCGGCTCACCTCCTCTATGCCAGAGAACTGCGGGTCATCCAGTTTTGGCTTTTGCCCATTGCCAAACTTCAGGGCCTCTGCAATCCGATGGTAGGTCTCAATCTTCCCATTGGTCGACTCCAGGGACTCTGGCGTGAATTTAAACTCTTTGGTGCAGGGTAAACCAAAGGGATTAATGAAGTAAGGAAGACAACCAGCTGCATTATATCATGAGTCCTAATTCGATCTACTCTTTCTGTCCCATCCCTATTCTTAATCCATTTCTTCCCATCTGAGAGATTTGATCCCGCAGACTGGGCATGGGCTGAGAGCCAGGAACACCAAAGTTCTAATTCCAGCTCTGAAACCAATTTTCTGTGTGACCTTGGGAAAGTCAGTTAACCTCTCTGCCTCTGTTCCCCTAGCTGTATAATGGGGATAATAAGGGCCAACTAGTATTATTACATTGCTGTTTCTGATCTCATCCTGCCCCTCCACCCACTGTCACGGCCAGTGCCCTTCCCGCCCAGGTAGATGGCACACGATACAGAAATCTGCCTTTCATTTCACAGATTACCTTTCAGTATGTTGAGGATGAAGAGAAGAACAGCACCCCCAGCAGGTGGTGGAGGGGAATACATTGTGTATCCACCCAGAGAAATATTCAGAGGTGTCATCACTTTTGCCTGGAAATTCCTGAGGTCCCTCAGCGTCAGACTGCTGCCTTCAAGAGAAAACGAGAGGCACGTGCCATTGGAGTGATAGCTTGCTCTATGGGTATCTGCCATAGGCAGAGAGAACCAGAGCCCCTGCAAGCCTGATGAATACTTATTACAACCGGCCCCAGCATCCCCCCACCTTTTGCCCTTCCTCTTTTGTGTGTCAAACCCAAGGACAGCAAAAAACTGATACAGCTGGTGAAACAACTGCACAGTGACCCTGAATGACAGAGCAGAAGCTGGGTTTCAGGCTCCACTCCTGGGGCTGAGCCAGGTCATGTCTGCCCCCCGTGGAAAGGGAAATGGCGTGAGTTGCCCTGCTGTTGGACCTCCACCTGCTGGTTGCCCCACCGAACAATACTGCTGATCTTCCCCTAACAATGGACAAGGTGAACCCGGAGTGAAGAGCAGGAGGGGGGCTCTCAGACTAGGAACAAAAAAGGAAAAATATTATTCAAGGACTGTATTTTCTGCACTCAGTGAGTCAACAAGACATGAATAAAGTGCAGCAACCAGTTGGGAGGCTATACCAAGTCCAACAGGAGACTCATCTTCTTACTCCTTATCTCACATCAGGAGCCAAATGTGTGGGCAGGGTCAGCTTCCTCATGAGGTAAAATATCTGCAAGGTCTGCTCTTTCCTTTCTTTGATAAATGAACCCTCAGCTGTATTAAAGTCAAGGCTACGTCTTTCCTGAACGTAGACCTCTTTTCTTAGCTGAAAACCCTATTGTGTATAATCCCTAGGCATCAGGGCTCAAATCCCAGCATGGTGTAATTCCATAGAGTCAGCGGAGTTGCCCCAGGAAATATCAGGCCTCGCATTTTCACCAATACTTGTCATGATGCCGATTTTTAAAAAAGGCGACTAGTGACTTTGAGTGCCTCAATTTTGGGGGCCCCAAACAGAGTTCTTTGCACTTATCTTTATTGAATTTCAGCCTGTTGATGTCAGAATAATTTTCCAATTTGACAAGATCCTTTTGAAATCTAATCCTGTCCTCCAAAGTACTTGCAACCCCTCAGTTTGATGTCATTGCCAAAATTTATAAGCATACTCTCCACTCCATTATCCAAGTCATTAATGAAAATACTGAATAGTACTGGAGCCAAGACTGACCCCCTGCGAGACCCCACTAGCTATGCCCACCCAGTCTGACAGTGAACCACTGATAACTTCGCTTTGAGTATGATCTTTCAACAGGTTGTGCACCCACCTTACAGAAATTTCATCTATGAAGTATAACTGTTACCTACTTTCATTCCTTATGTCATTCACCAAATCCTCTGCTATCTTGCCCTCATAAAATTCTCTGGCTCCCTTCTCTGCTACATTCTTCAGTGTTTTCAACAGGGCTGGCCAAAAGATGATTGCATCAGGTTTTAGGACCACACCATTCTTACAGAACTGCTTGCTGTTAAGAGAGAATGTCCATCAGTTCAGGTTTATAGCGTCCGTGTGATTATTTCTCTCCCTTAACAGAGTCCCCATTTGCCAGCCAAAGCTTGTTTCTTCTGTGTACCATTTGTCCTTATTCTCCAAAGCTCCACTCCATACCACCAGGGGCTGGCCTGTCTTCATACAGTACCGCTCCCTTGGCAAGCATGTCTCCATATCAAGTCCCACACAAAGATTCCTTACTCTGGGCCTGAAGCTGCAGCCTTTACTCAAGGAATCCCAATAGGAATGCTCACACGAGTAAGACTGCAGGTTTCTGCCCTGTCAACGGACAGTTGCAATACTGTCAATGTCTTTCAACAGAGGCAATCTTCACACATCCAGGCCCCCATCTTATTTTCAACATGCAGATGCACATTTCCCAAGGCAGCCAAGCTCCACCCACCCCCTGCCCCACTTCCTCCTCCCCTGAGTGCACCGCATCCCTGCTTCTCTGCCTACCTCCCAGCACTTCCTGCCCAGCCGCCAAACAGCTGTTTGGCAATGATAGCACGTTCCAGGAGGGAGGAAGAGGAATCGGAACATGGCACACTCAGGGGAGGAGGCGGGGCCGGTGCAGGGATTTGCGGAAGGAGTTAGAATAGGGGCGGGGGGGGCAGAGTTGGGGCGGGGACTTTGGTGAAGGGGTTGGAATGGGAGCAGGGCAGGGGTGGGAGGAGGTGGGGCAGGGGTGGAGCCTCCTGGAAGGGGTGGAGTGGGGGCAGGGCCGGGGGGGGGGTCGAGCGTTCATGGGAAAGAGGGGAAGTCGGTGCCTATGCCACACACCCAGGTGAAATACAACTTCTCTTACCATAAGGATGACTTTTTCAAAAAGCTCTGTAATACCGGGTGACTGAGAAAGTTGCTCAGCGTTGTTGGCATTCTGATTCCATGTGTAAGGAGCTCGATGGTTGGTTCAAACAGCCATTTCCATGGCAACCGGCCATAGCGCCTGTGGGCTTCTTCATATCCACGAAGCTCCCCCGGGACTGCAATCCACTGGCTCCCTGCACAAGCAGTTACGATATTACTCACTGCAGTAACCCCTCCCCCCATATATTAAATCACATAATTCAAGGTCACATCCATCTGGAGGCCACCACTAACAGCTATGACACGCTAGGAAGGGAAGCAGAATCTAGCACCAGGAATTCCCAATGGTTTGAAGGTGTGGTCCACCCCCGCTTCAATCCCACTGGTGATAGCACAGGCCATTCCCCTGTCAAGGCTGATTCCCCACTCTGGCCCTTCGAGTGTAGAAGGTGGGGGCCCGCAAGGATTCTAAACATTAATACTGGCCACTCCAGGCTTGTATTAAACTCCCAAGGTTACAGCTTTTCTCTGACCTTGCATGAGTAAATGCTGCCACCACCCAAGTGCAGAACCCCTTTGAGAGCCCAGGAAGGCACACTTGGGAATTCCTTCCTGTGGGGTACCCTCATGACCTTTCACACCCAACCCCAGGGAAGAGCTGAGAAAGAAAAACAAAGGAAATTAGCTGTTGCCACCAGCTAATTAAACAATGTGCACAAACCTCTTAAGAACAAAATTGGATTTTGGTGTTCTAAAAAAGGTAAATTTTATTAAAAAAAGAAACTCAGGCTATTGCTTATTTTAAAAGAGCAATTACAAGGATTAAGCATCAAGAATAGTTTTCTTGAGGTTCAGCTTAAAGGTTACAAGCAACACAAAAGCACTGGGGTTAGCACCGAGAAGTCCACAAGTCATAAAGAAATAAAAAGAGATAAACCTAATCGCGTCTTCCTAGACATTTCCTGATCTACTGACATATCCGGGGTTTCAAATGAGTAGTTTCTAGGTATGATACTGAGGATTTTTCATACCTGGCTGCAACCGTCTTACAGCATAACTGCTGCCCTGCCCGCCTCTCCACGAGAGAACAACAGCCAGACCAAAGGGGAGTCGTTTTTCAACTTTAAAAAGTTCTAGCTTCCCATTGGCTCTTTTGGCCAGGTGCCCACTCATTTCTTTTCCCTATGCATCGCAGTGAGACATTTTAACCCTTTAGAGGTAGAGCAATTAGAGAACAGCTACTAAGAGGGATTTTTATAGCTAATGGCTGGCTGGGTGTCCATAAAAGGGAGCTACCCCCGCCCTTCATTTATCATACATGCACCCCTTCAATCCCACTGGCGATAGCACAGGCCATTCCCGCCCCCCTTCAATCCCACTGGTGTTAGCACAGGCCATTCCCGCCCCCGCTTCAATCCCACTGGTGATAGCACAGACCATTCCCCCCCTTCAATCCCACTGGTGTTAGCAAAGGCCACCCCCACACCCCTTATTCCATCAGAGATAGCACAGACCACCTCCTCCTCCCTGCCCATTACTGATAACCCTCCCCCAGCTGCCTGTTTCATAAGCGATAGCTCAGCAATTGTTTACATGGAAAAACAATGTCTATCTCGCAACTGAGCAGCGGACACAAGTCAGGGAGCCAGCACCATGTGGCCAACCAATTCACCCCAAAATGGCAACAATTCCCCTCAGACTTTCAGGGGCACAACCAGCGTTTTCCCAGCGCTCTCCCACCCCTGATCTGCACCCACTCCCAACCTCTCGTCCCCACACGCTCTCCCTGCTCTCACCCCCCCAGCCGCTGTCTCTGCACCCAGCCCTACACACACGCCTCTGTCCTGCTGCCCCACACCCAGCTCTGACCTCTCTCCCCCTGCACTCAGCCCCAGAGACCTCCCTGCCCCACAACAAGCCCTGAGGCTGTCAGGCTGAAGAACACCAGCTCCACCAGGGGCCAGGCATTTCTGGGAGCCCCAGACCACATCCTCCTCCTGCATCTCCGTTTCCCCAGTAAGCTCCAAAAGCCTGGATCCAATTCTCCCACCCTCCTTGGCACTGGGGGTCGTGGTGCCCCTGCTCCATTTCTCCCTAGGGGTTGACAGCGGGGCGGTCAAGCTAAAGTTCCAGCTCTGGTCGGGGCCAAGAGGGGGCCTAGGACCTCTGGCCCCTCCTGCTCTTTGCACCCCAGCAGACCATCACTATAGGGTACAACTTGCCTAAGGTGAAACAGTGAATCAGTGGCAGAGCTGAGAATAGATACCCCACACACTCCAGTTTCCTGCCCTATGCCCTATCCAGCAGGCCAGTGTTTCTCAAACTGGGGCGCGTGTATGGGGTCTTCTCCACATGCACCCCTGTGCAGAGGCCAGTCACATTCACAGCCTGGATGCTGACCTGATCCCTGAAGGGATGGAGCAGTAGCTGTGATGATTAGTGGAAAGGGTGATGCAAAAAATAGATAGGTAAATAAGAGACTGCACCCTCCTAAAGGAGCCTATTCCCCCGCACAGTGCCTCTTGGATCTTCTGTTGGGACACCTGAGCTCTGTTCCTTTAAGAAACAATAATGGCTTTAACCTTTCTGTTCCTCAGCTTCTCGGTCTGTAAAAGAGGGACAACTATTACCTCCTTCCCTGGAGTGTCCTGGGGCTTAGGTCACTAGTGCCTGTAATGTGTTCTGAGTTCCTTGAATCTAGAAAAGCATTTGCGCAAAAGCAGCTAGGGGAGCTCTCTTGGCCTCTTTCTAAACAAAAGTATCTGCAGCCCAAGTTGAAGAAGCTGCTTCTCTATTAGCTGTTAGTAGTAACAGCACTTGTCTTCTCTTTAAGGAGCAGGGTGGGGTGAGACAGAAAAGGTCGTTTCCTGGTTACAGGTTTGTACTGGAACTCAGGAGACCTGGAGTCAATTCCCGTCTCTGCCACAGATGCCCTGAAGGCTCTTGGGCAAGACACTCAGGGCTTAATTTTTCAGAGGGTCTGAGCACCCATTGACTTTAATTGTTCTCAGTGGGAGCTGCTGGGTGCCGAGCGCTTGGAAAATGCAGTCCTACTTTGACGATTACATATAAAAGGCACCTCCTTACTTAGCCGATCTGCCCCGTGTGTGGTCAGTCACCTCGGCCAACTTTAGGGACAAAAACTAATCTTTTAAAATGATTTTTACTACTGCAGAGTCAACACAGCTGCGAGACAGTGTGCTGGACTCTAGCCCAGGGGTCAGCAACCTTTCAGAAGTGGTGTGCCGAGTCTTCATTTATTCACTCTAATGTAAGGTTTCGCGTGCCAGTAATACGTTTTAACGTTTTTAGAAGGTCTCTTTCTATAAGTCTATAATATATAACTAAACTATTGTTGTATGTAAAGTAAATAAGGTTTTTAAAATGTTTAAGATGTTTCATTTAAAATTAAATTAAAATGCAGAGCCCCCCAGGACCGGTGGCCAGGACCCGGGCAGTGTGAGTGCCACTGAAAATCAGCTCGCGTTCCTCCTTCGGCACGCATGCCATAGGTTGCCTACCCCTGCTCTAGTCCTTCTTGTGCATCAACACCATTCCTTGCTAAGGCCTTGGCTACACTCGCGGATTCGCGAGTGTAGTCGCGCCGCCAGCACTGCAAGGGCTCTCTCGCAGCGCTGCAAGTACTCCACTTCTCCGAGGGGAATAGCTTGCAGCGCTGCAAGAGAGCGTGGAGCGCTGCAGGCGCTGATTACACTGGTGCTTTACAGCGCTGCACTCGCTGCGCTCAGGGGGCGTGTTTTTTCACACCCCTGAGCGCAGCAAGTGCAGCTCTGTGAATTGCCAGTGTAGCCAAGGCCTAAGTTCAGTCACAGTAAGATCTGTGCAAACCCACTGACAGCAAGGGAATTGCATGGATGTCACTGAAAGCAGAATCTGAGAACAAGGAGGTTTGCACCACCACAGGGGGCCTGATTTGGCCTGCAGAACTTTTGCTCCTGGTAACAATGCAGGAGAGGAAAAATCCTGTTTTCGGATCTCTGGCTGAGTTTGGTGGGAAATCAGTCAGAAAGACAACATCTCTTTCCTTGCAAGCTTTGCACTTTGATACGGCGTCGCTGAGACACAAAAATGCCCCACCCCCCCATGCCATTTTTGCTGTCATTTTTGTGGAACTGCACACTGAGCCACAGGCAAGGACAAGAACAGTGAAGTACAGAGCTGTCAGCTTTGACTGACAGATAATGAGCCTTGCTGTGAAGCCTGACCCTATAGGTCTTTACAACAGCTTGCAGCCTGCAGTCCTATAGTGATGTAAAAGTTTAACCAGTTAACCGATAACCTTGATGCGTATTGGTTTCTGTTAACAATTAAACTCTGTGACGAAGTGGGACTGTTCTTAATGATTCCTCTGAATACTGTGTGGGTGTTTCTAGGTGGTGAGGAAAGGCCAGTGCGCATAAATCACTGACACTCTGTCTCCCTGGCAACAAATGGCCAGGGCCCCTTCCCCCCTGCAAGGAAATAGCTAAAGGTGAACAAAGAGATCAGGTGACCTCCTGGCCCAGGAAAGAGACAAAGCCGAGAGAAGGAGCGGCTGGAGGGGGTTTGGGAGTTGGAGCTACCTGGGGACTAGGAGTGAGGGCAGACGTGGGTGTCTGGCTCTCTGAACCCCTACCTGTACGCTGTACCTACAAGCTCTGTTTTAGACCTTGTTCCTGTCATCTAATAAACCTCTGTTTTACTGGCTGGCTAAGAGTCATGTCTGACTGCGAAGTGGGGGGTGCAGAACCCTTTGGCTTCCCCAGGACCCCGCCGGGGCGGACTCGCTGTGGGAAGCGCACGGAGGGGCATATGCTGAATGCTCCGAGGAGAGACCCAGGAGGTGAAGCCGTGTGAGCTTCTTGCCCTGAAGACGGTCTGCTCTGAGGGAGAGGAGGTTCCCCAGAGTCCTGACTGGCTTTGTGGGGAGCAGTTCCAGAGCATCGCCCGGGGACTCCGTGACAAACTCCACTGGGGTCCCGGCTGCTGGCCCCGCGCCTGGGGCTCTGCTATTGCCCGCGCCCGTCCCGGAGTCCTGGCTGCTGGGACTCCAGCCATGGGGCCAGTAGCCAGGATCCCAGGTGCGGGGCCAGCAGCCAGGATCCCGGGCGTGGGCAGCAGAGCCCCGGGTGCGGGGCCAGCTCCCGGGTGCAGCCAGCAGCAGAGATCCCTGGATGCGGGGCCAGCAGCGGGGATCCCCAGGTGTGGGGCTGGCAGCAGAGCTCCGCATAAAACGTGGGGATGCTGCAGCACCCCCTGCACCTCTAGTTCCCTGGTTAAACGTTTAACTGTGTAACTGATAGATTTTAATTGGTTACACGGTTATTGTTTTTACACATTATTTACATCCCTGCAGCCCTATTGAAATACATGTGGCTATTCCCAGGAGTAACTACTTTGTGTGGGCGTAAGAGTCAAATCCTCTGTGCTCTTTCACTAGATGTATTAAAAATAACCCAACTCTGGGCCAATGCTGATGTTAGGAAAAAGCTTAGAACTGCATACATGCAGGGTCTAGTCATGGGGACTGACACCAGACCAACCCCAGAAGGTTTCCTTGAGGTTCAGGTTACCTTCCTCTCCCTAGGACCCTTTTTCCCTTCTCATCCCACAGATTAGTGGGGTTCAAATGCTTTGTCCATTCAGCTTAGAATTTAAGAGCAACAGCAGGAAATAATGAAGAAGAGTGACTCTCCAGAGACAATGGACTTCCCATAATGCAGTGAAATAGCGAGGTCCTCTATCCTCTCCCCAAATGCCAGGCAGTACCTCCCCCTCCCCCCCTTACTGCACCAAGCTGTCTGAAAGGAAAACAGTCCAATTCTTGTCCTTACCTATTTGGAGAGGTAAACCATTACATTGATTTAACAAGTCTTGGTTGATATTTTCTGGAGCTGTTTCACGAGCGTTAATCACAACGACCTCTCCTGGAAATAAGAAAGGAAAACACATAATAATCTCTTCCCAGTGTCTGGTAAGTTTCATTCATCACAGTTAGTGGAGCAGAAAGCAAAGGGCTGGAGTTTATGCTTCTTTGTGGAAACGGGTGAGGGTTGGCGTCCCACTGGATCATGCACTTTGGAGTCCATGAAGTCCATCACCAGACCTGCCAAGCTCTCACGTTGTGTTTATGAAGCCTTCCTGCTGTAGAGTTTACGTCCTCCTAACAATTTTAAGAACAGTACATCTCATACTCCTGGTCCCTTTGGCTCTTTGTTTGATCCGAAAGCAAGATCATGATCCAGGATATACAGATGGGTTAATTCTGGCTCTACTGCTCTTAAAAACTGTTGCTCTTTTATGGTACTTCAGCGGTGCAAAGAGGCATACAGTTGGCTTAACCAGTTAGCTAGGAAGTCTCATCTCTACATTGCTCCTGCGCTTGCTACGGGGGCATGGTTGCAAACTGCAGTCAAGTGGCTATTCATTGGCATATTGGAACCAGCATAGAACCTTCTCCATCAGACTCCATGGCACCTTTCCTCACCGGAGAGCACTAGACTTTAAGAAGGCTCCATTTCAAAAGGACACTGCACTCTAAAAGAGGGGGGCAAAGCACCCCAACTTATCTTTCACCTCAAAAGACAAAGGAACCGAGCACCTTGGACTTTGTGGGAGATCCTGACCAAGGGGTCAGTCAGCCGTCTTGCTAGGAGGAAGCCTAAGAAGCTCACCTTGAAACAAGACTGTCGTTTGGTTAAATCTTAGTCCCTAGACAGCATTTTTCACTTTTATTTGCTTATAACCATTTCTGACTTTATCCCTTACACCTGAGCTCACTTAAAATCCTCTCTTTTCATTAATAAACTTGTTTATTTTCCATCTAAACCAACCCGGTGCTGTGTTTGAATTGACGTAATCATGAATTCTAGTTAAAGCAACAGACTGCTGGGGTTCTGTCTCTTTAAAGGAGCAATGGACTGTTTTACTTCTCTAACTGTACCAGGAGAGGGCTGGACATTTCAGGGCAGACAGTTTGGGGGAAATTCGGGAGTAGGGGTGGCTTGGCTAATAATAACCAAGGCTGCTGGAGACCAGGGAGTGGCTGTGGTGTAACAAGCAGGCTGCTGGAGTTGCTGAACCAGGGTGGCTTTTATCACACAGATACTCAGTGCATGCTTGTATGCTGGCTGGGAGCACCCAGACTGGAAGTTACAGCAGCAGAGCATTTTAAGGCACTCAGAGTTACAGGACAAATGGTAACATGACCTAGCACTGGTGTGGGTTGCACCCCAAAACGTGACAACCATGCCCTCTCTTATTTGCCTCTGCATACTGTCCATACAAGTCCCTGAAACCATCCAATACTCCATATTCATCTGCCGCTATTGGAAAGACACTCCATTTTCCCAGTGCAAGCCAGAGAGCAACACAACCTTGCAGCACCATATACATGCTTACAGGCTGGCTATTGATAATCATTGTACCTGAGGTAGGCTAAGAGGCGGGACATGTGTGCAGATTATATTATCATGCAACAATAGACCACACTACTGTAATTCATATCTGCCATAGAAAGCGCTTAAGCCCCTTTCATGTGGCAACGAATGGGATTCTCCCACCGGAAAAGGGAAAAAAAGTGAGGTGAAACGGTAGACTTTTTAGGAGGGTGTTGGAACCACAAATGAATGTTGCATTTTGGGATTGCGGCTGGAGTACTGTCTGTACCAGTATCAGTATGTGTGTGCCCATGCAGCCACTGCCAGTACACTGGCAGAGGGTTACAATGTTCTGAACAGGAGAATAACTATGTCAGCAAAAGTGGAGAGTTTGGTTGGTAGGAGACAACACACCAGGCTGTGCTGAGAAAAAGGAAAGTTTTGCCAGCACAGCTTCCTAATGTAAGTCAGTCCTGAGTATTTCCAGACTTTGTTACGTAGCTGGTTTGTTTGCTTTAAACTACAGTGTTATTCTTACTACTAATTTCTATAGGCCATGTCAGCTGGGTTAAACTAAGACGCTATTAATACGCTGAAGCAGGAACACAACAAAACGTTGAGTTCTAAAAGCCAAACAAACAGACAAGTCTTACATCAGGGCCTGAAAGTGGCTGGACTTGAGCATAGCTAGATTGCCAAAGGGAGTAAGTTGCAAAATTAGAAGCCTGAGTCTCCCCAGTCTGTCTCTTTGTGGAGTCCCTGACACCCACACAAAGTACTGTTCTGAACTGGCAGCCTTTTGTAAAGGACAGACACAAGGTGCTGCAAACTTGCCACGAAGCATTAGGTCCAAGGTCTCACCAGACGTGGAGAGTCACATTCATCCCTCAGCGCAGTCACAACAGGGCTGAATATGGCCCAGAGTATTTACACTTAGATTCTCATAGCAAATGCTTCCCTTCTGATCTCACCTGCATTGGCTGAGCATAAGGTGAGCATCAGCCCTTCAGTTAGCTGGGTTTTGGGCCATTCTGGCTTTGCTCTAATGCCTGCCTAACGTTCAGACATGGTTGGGTTTTTCACCTTAACACCTCCAGGAGATTTCTTTGTGAATTACTGCGATATCCTACTCACCCTGTTGTGAGTGACGGATGTCTGTTTGCAGCCGTCGCTGTACTGTAACGGGTAGTTAGGTCTGGGAATACGATACCATTCTAACCAGGGAGTGCGGCGTTCATAGAAAAATGCTTTGCCTGAGCTTCCAGGACATTGGCTTCTGCAAGGCTACTGAATGAACATGCTGGTGAATCGACTCTAAAGGAGGCGTATGCGAATGCTATGGAAGAGTTCCCTGAGAAGAGTCAGGCCCTTACCATACCTGTGGTTGCATTATAGATGGTAAAGATGACACCTCCTCCCAGGCCCATACTCTGGGGGTTCAAAACGGAAGTGCAGACCAGAGCAGCAATAGCAGCATCCACAGCTGAACCCTTACGTCGTAGGATGTCCCTGTAGGAGAAAGGAAGAGAAAATCTTGTGCAAGACCAGGCAGCACAGAACTGAGCAGGCTCGTGGAAGAGCCTTCCTGCTTGTAATGCAAAGGATATACAGGTGGCAAGGTGAGAGAAGTCAATAGTTAAGTGGACTGAAGCAACGGGGGTGATGTCACGGAGTCACCGGGCAATGCTCTGGAACTGATCCCTACAAAGCCAGTCAGGACTCTGGGGGAGCCTCCTCTCTGTGAGCAGACTGTCTCCAGAGCAAGAAATTTACACAGCTTTGAGCTTCCTGGGTCTGACCTCGGAGCATTCAGCATCCCCTTCCACACCGTGTGCTTCCCGCAGTGAGTCCGCACAGGTGGGGCTCCTGGGGAAGCCAGAGGGCCCTGCACCCCAATTCCGCAGTCAGACGTGACTCGCAGCCAGCCACTAAAACAGAAGGTTTATTAGATGACAGGAATACAGTCTAAGCCAGAGCTTGTAGGTACAGAAACAGGACCCCTAAGTCAGGTCCATCTTGGGGCAAGGAGGCCAGGGCCCCATCTGGGCCAGAAGGTCACCTGATCTCTTTGTTCTCCAACACCTTCAGTTGGCACCTTTGCAGGGGAGGGGCCCAGGCCATCCGTTGCCAGGAGACAGGGTGTCGGCCATTCTCTGTGCAGACAGCACCACACAGACCCTCTAAGGCTCTGCCACAATCACACACCCTTATCCCACCACCTAGATACTTAAGAAATGCATAGGGGAAACTGAGGCACCCACACAGTATTCAGAGAAAACATTAAGAACATTCCCACTTCGTCACAGTTGATTTCACAACACAAGGGGAAATGAGTTACAGTAGGTGGGAAAGGAAACTGGAGAGAACCCCTGGAAAAAGAGGTAGCAATTCTGTGTGAGGATCTAAAATCTGTACAAGGAAATGACACAGCTGGACCATGAAGACTTATTTAGGCTGAGCTGAAGGATGAAGAATGAAAATAGCGAACAATCATCGGAAATTGCTACAGCTTTTTAAGCCACAGCAACCAGGCAGATCAGGAAATGATCATACAAAGAGGAGGAAAGCTATTGAAAACCAGAAGCCCCCCAGGAGAGCACAGCACACTCTATAATGCAGAGCTGAAGTCTTCACAAAGTATCTTAAGTAATGTAATGTAAGTGATTTGTGGCTAGTTCAACCGCACTACGTTTTCAGTTTCTACGACAATTAAACAAAGCACCATTTGGTTATTAAATACATCGTGGGGGAAGGGAGAAGTATGAGTTACAGGTGGATGGGAAACAAGCCCCAGATCTGAACACCAACTCTGTGGAAATTCAGGGTCTGAGTCTTTGCTCACTAACAGCAGTGTAACCCCACTGGCTTAAGTGAAGCTACTCCAGACTTACACCAGAGTGAACGAGCTCAGTCAGGGCACTGGATCCCAATCTAGGCTTCATTTCAAGCTCAATCCTCACTATGGAGCGGTGACCAGCGCCTCCAAAGTAATGGCTGGATCCACAGATCTGTTCCAAATCTCACTGAGCTTGGAGGAAGCTCAAATCCCCACTCACTGCAGGCCAGGCATTTCCATGTCTCTATTTATAACATATTCTGGGGCCCTCTCACCATCTTCCCAACACTAATGAATTTAGCCTCACAACACTCCTGGCACACGCGGCAGTATTCTTCCCATTATACAGATAGGGGAACTGAGGCACAGAGAGGGATTCGGGGAGCTGCCCAAGTTCACACATAGTGTTTGTAGCAGAGACAGGAACAAAACCTAGATCTCCAGTCCAGTGCCCTACCTACAAAGCCACCCCTCTTGTAGCATGAGTTTAACCCCTTATACAACGAATGATGTTGCTGTTGAATGATTATGAAAGTACCTTGCTCCCCTCAGATGAAAGGAGCTTTAGGAGTGTAGCTCAGTGGGCCAGCTTACCTCTATTATATTCACTGCTTTGCATTATATTCAGCGGTAATGCAAGGAACCTAGAGGCTTGTATCCTGTAAGACATTGGCTTCAGAAGTTAGCATGAGGCTTGAAGCCTACGAACTTTGGCATAGATAAACTTAGCTAACGCATAAGTTTTGGGGAACTGGAGGTAGAGTGTAGGAGGGAATTTTGTCCATAATGACATCAGCCAACCACAGAACATGAACTGACATCGGCTTCTGGAAGGTTTTGGACGGAATATCCGACCACAAGAGTGCCCTGGCAACAAATTGACGTATATGATAATGGGGTGAAATCATAAATACACTAACCTATAGAAGAAGGACACCTTAACATTGGTAAGGGGAGGAAATACAAATAAGGAAGAGGGGAGAAACCCCTATTGAATATGCATTAGACACGGGTAATGTCAGCATAACATATTATAAAGTGGCATCCCAGCCTAGGGGCAGTAGGGAGAGAGATGTAGCTCTTGGGAGGGGCTAGAATGATGGCCACTGGTGAAGATGAAGAAGGTGACGGTGATGAGGAAGATAATGGCTAACATTTCAGGTTGTTCTGCAAGGGATGGTGTGAGTATGGATGTTCAGATGTACTTTCTGTATTATCTCTAGCTACCTTACCAAGTTAGAGTGCGTGTGACTTTGCTAAATGTATTAATAAGTTATTTGTAAATATAAAAGATTTCCTGTAGTGTGAGTGTTGCACCTGGGCACATCGGGGTTCCCAACTATATAATTTTAATAATACTGGGCCTGATCTTGGGACAAGAACCTGTCAACCCTCAAAGTGATACAGTAACTGGGAATTTTTATTCATAATCTATAGATCAGGCTACAGGAGTGAAGCATTATTAAGATGACGTATTTGCATGGAGGCTAAGCAACAGGAACTACCCTTCTTACTACTGCACCCTCCTACAACTCTGGTTAACCTCGAGTGACTCTCCTAGTGGCAGATTCAACCACCCCAATTTTCAGTGCTGCCAATCCTAAATATTCAAAAGGCACGAATCAGGGCCCCCAAAATCATAAGATATTATTGAAAACCCTTGTGACGTTGTGCAGTCTATATGGTTTTATAAAAACATAATAAGAAGTGAATATAATGTAACTGGAATAGTTTTATAAAAATATGATAAGTGAATATAATGTAACTGGAATATGCTTTATACAAAAGGTCTCTTGTAAGGTATCATTACAAAGCTTATAATCTACTGAGTGTGATCATCCTATTTGTATAAATGTACCACTCTTGTATCTAAAACTAGAAATATGAAATATAACTCTGAGGGCCTATTGTAATTATGTAAAGTGTGGGCCATTAATAGTGGTTTAGAATCTTGATGACTCCCATTAACCAGGACCATTGTCTGCAGATGGCTGTGTTTACCTGTTAGTCTTCCTGTGTATGTGTGTGCTGGCAAGTGGGTAATGAAGTCTTGCAGTGACATGTGATCATGCCACCTGAACTGGAATCCATCTTTAACCTGGTGCTTTTCCAGTGGGGGGGAGGCGGGACCCAGATGGACAAAGGGTTCCCGCCTTATGCAAAAGATACATAAAGGGGTGGAAGAGAACAGAGGAGCCATCATGAAGAATCCCCTAGCTATCACCTGAGCTGCAACAAGAGCTGTACCAGGGGAAAGAATTGTGCCCAGGCCTGGCAGGTGTCCAGTCTGAGAAAAAGCTTACTGAAGCATCTCTGAGGGTGAGATTATCTGTATTCAGTTTGATTAGGCATAGATTTGCGCATTTTATTTTATTTTGTTTGGTGACTACTTTGTTCTGTCTGTTGCTACTTGGGACCACTAAATCCTACTTTCTGTATTTAATAAAATCACTTTCTACTTAGTAATTAACTCAGAGTATGTATTAATACCTGGGGGAGCAAACAACTGTGCATATCTCTCTATCGGTGTTATAGAGGGCAAACAATTTATGAGTTTACCCTGTATAAGCTTTATACAGGGTAAAACGGATTTATTTGGGTGTAGACCCCACTGGGAGTTGGGCATCTGAGTGCTAAAGATAAGCACATTTCTGTGAGCTGTTTTCAAGTAAACTGCAGCTTTGGGGCAAGTTATTCAGACCCTAGGTCTGTGTTGGAGCAGACGGGAGTGTCTGGCTCAGCAAGACAGGGTGCTGGAGTCCTGAGCTGGCAGGGAAAACAGAAGCACGGGTAGTCTTGGTACATCAGGTGGCAGCTCCCAGGGGGTTTCTGTGATCCAACCCGTCACAACCCTCATTATTTTTAAGCCTAACACATGTGGATGCCATTTATTTCCCTTCTGGTTTTAGTGTCTTTAGGGTGCACTTAGGTTCTGTTTTCAAGCTTTTCTCTGCAATTGGGAAGGCTAGAAACTTATTTTTTCAAATGAAAACTGAGATTCTCACCTAACCACATGCCTCCAGAAGCTGCGGCTTTAAGAAAAACACCTCATACCACGACAGTTGGCAACAGTGAGGTTTGTTTTCAACCACTCCTCTGCTGGCCAGACAAGGACGCCAAGCAAAGACGTTGTTAACTCCACTCCCTGCCCAAGACCAAAGCATGTCACCGCCACAACACACTTCAGACGGTATCTGTTGGCTCAGTAATCTGAAGTTGTTCGAGTAGATGCAGACCTGTATTCCTCATTGGTGTGCACGCACCCAGCGTGCCGGTGCGAGAGCCTTTTGCCTAGCAGTGCCCCTAGAGGGGCAGCCCTTGCGCCTCAGGGCTGCGGCCCCTCCCCGGCTATATGAAGCAGTGTTGCCCCGACCCTCTTCAGTCCCTTCTTACCGACCGTGGCTGGAGTTGAAGATCTGTCTGTGATTGTAGTCTTACAACCTTGCATTTACTATAAGCCTAGTTTACTGTACACAGGTAATTAGTTAGTAGTTAGATAGCATTAGTCGATAGTGTTCCCCCCTCGATGACCTCACCAGGCTTTAAACACTGTCCTTATGTGGAGAGGTGATCCCCAACAGCGACCCCCCGTCCCCACCACGGTGCATGTTTTGTCTCAGTGAGGCCCATCTTAAGAGCGCTGTTTGATCGTTTAAAAAGCAGACTCAGGGGG